GGGACCAGGGCTTTTTTTTGTAGGAAGTTTTCTTATTATGTGGTCGATTTCCTTGATTGTTATTGGTCTATTTAGGGTCTCAATTTCTTCTTGTTCCAACCTAGGTAGGTTGTGTGATGTCAGAAAGTCTTCCATTTCCTTCTGGTTTTCAAGTTTGTTTCCATACAAGTGTACGTAGTAGTCTCTAATGATCTTTTGTATTTCTTCAGGGTCAGATGTGACTTCATCTTTTGTGTTTCTGATTATGCTTATTTGGTTTTTTTCTCGTTTTTTCTTGGTTAGTCTAGCTAGGGGACCATCAATCTTGTTTACCCTTTCGAAGAACCAGCTTTTCGTTTCATTGATTTTTTGTATTATCTTTTTGTCTTCTATGTCCTGGATTTGGGCTTTTATTTTGGTGATCTGGATTCTTCTGCTGAAATGAGGGTTTTTGTGGTCTTGCTTTTCCAGCTTCTTTAGGTGGCTAGTTAGGTTGTCAATTTCTGTTCCTTCCGTTTTCCTCATGTGTGTTTGTAGGGATATAAATTCCCCTCTTATTACAGCTTTTAAGGCATCCCAGAGATTTTGGTAAGATGTTTCTTTATTTTCATTTGTTTCCAGGTATCTTTGGATCTCTATTTTGATGTCATCATTGACCCAGGAGTTATTTAGCATCATGCTGTTTAGTGTCCATGTCTTTGTGGGTTTTGGGGGGACTTTGTTGGTGTCAATGTTTATTTATATTCCACTGTGGTCCGAAAAGGTGCATGGCAGAATTTCAGTCCTTTTAAATTTGCTTATACTTGATTTGTGTCCAATTATGTGGTCGATCTTAGAATATGTTCCATGTGGTGATGAGTAGAATGTGTATTCTGTGGTCTTTGGATGGAGTGTTCTATAGGTATCAATTAAGTCCATTTGGTCCAGAGTCTCATTGAGGTTCCGGATCTCCTTGCTGATTTTTTGTGCTGATGATCTGTCTAAGGTTGTGAGTGGTGTATTAAAGTCCCCAGTTATTATGGTGTTAGAGTCAATGTCTTTCTTTAGTTTTCCTAGAAGTTGCTTTATGAATGTTGGTGCGCCTATGTTGGGTGCATATATGTTTAGGATAGATATTTCTTGTTGATGGAGTGAACCTTTTATCATTATGTAGTGGCCCTCTGTATCTTTTTTAATTTTTGATAGCTTAAATGGTATTTTGTCTGAAATTAGGATCGCGACTCCTCCTTTCTTTTGTGTTCCATTCGCCTGAAAATTTGTTTCCCATCCTCTTACTTTGAGTCTGTGTATGTCCTTTCTAGTGAGATGGGTCTCTTGAAGGCAGTATATTGTTGCCTGGTGATATTTTATCCATTTTGTCATTCTATGTCTTTTCAGTGGTGCGTTTAGTCCATTCACATTCAGACTAATTATTGAAATGTGAGAGTTCGTCCCTATCATGGAGTTCTTATTGAGTTATTGTTCTTCTACTTGGTTTTTTCTTTTTTCTTTTTCTTTTTTTTTTTGTCTTTCTTTTGCTTTTGGGGTTGGTTCGTGTATATTTTATTCTTTTCCCTGTACTCTTGTGAAGAACGTTGTTCTTTTTTCCTTTTCTTCTGTGTTTAGTACTTTCTTAAGTGTTTCATGTAGAGATGGTTTTGTGGCTGCAATAAGTTCTTAGGGATTGGATATCTGGGAAAGATTTTAATTCTCCCTCACTGATGAAGCTTAGCTTGGCTGGGTAGGTTATTCTTGGTTGAAATTGTTTATCCTTTAGGACTTTGAAGATAGGGCTCCAAGCTCTCCTAGCCTACAGGGTTTCTGCAGATAAATCTGCTGCTATTCTGATTGGTCTTCCATCGGTGGGTGATCTGGCCTTTTTCTCTTGCTGCCTTTAGGATTTTTTCTTTTGTGCCTACTTTATTTAGGTGAATTATTATGTGTCTAGGAGTTGGTCTTCTCATTTGTTGTCTTGCGGGGGTTCTCTGAATCTCTTGTGTTTGAATTTTTGTATCACTGATTAGATGAGGGAAATTTTGTTGAATGATCTCATGGAAAGTTTGTTCCAATGTGGTCTCTGTTTCTCTTTCTGCCTCAGGGAGTCCGATTATTCTTAGGTTAGGCCTCTTGAGGTAGTCACTCATCTCTTGAAGGTTTTGTTCTGTCTTTTTTAGCTTATTTTCTGTGTTTTTAAGAGTTTGGGTTATTTCTATATTTTGGTCCTCAAGCTCTGAGATTCTTTCTTCTGCTTGGGTAATTCTGCTTTCCATGCTTATCAATTTGTTATTTATTTCATTCACAGTATTCTTTATTACTGTTATCTCAGATATCAGCTCCTTCCTAGTTTCTTCTTGTGTCTCCTCAATTCTTTTTAATCTCTCCATTATTGTTTTGATATCTACATTTGCATTTTGAGACCCTTCATTCTGGGGACTTTTCATTGTTTGTATTCCAAAGTCAATTTTCTCAGTGTCTGCTCTCCCAGGCGTCTGGGAAGAGACCCATACTCTTCTTTTGGTTTTTCTTCATTTCTGTAGATTTTTCTCCCTTACCCCTTTCCCTCCCCCTCTTCAATTCTGTTTTTGAGGGAAGGTGGGGTTGCTTTTATTTCTCTTCTGCAATGACCTGTTCTTCCTTATGAGGGTCTTCTGGTTCTGTTCACTTTTCCCTCTGCTTTACAGTCTGTCTATTCAGCAGTTTGCAGTCTTGGTTCGTTCAGAGAATCTCACCAGTTCACCTATGCCGTCGCCATCTTGCCCCGTCTCTCCAAGCCTAGATACATGTCCCCCGCGGTGGTCACTCCTGGGTTCTGCCGCCAGCTGGCTCCAGGCGCGCCGCACGGGCTGAGGCCTGAAGCAGAATGGGGGGACTGCGAAGTCACCCGCGATGGCAGTCACGGGCAGGAAATCGGTGTTTGAGGTGACTGTGGTGGCAAGGGCATGGCGCTGGAGTACACAAACGGTCCTCAACGACCACGCGGCGCCTTCTCCCCCTTGATGCCTTTTAATGCTTCTGCCATTTTTGGTTTCACCTCTTCCACATGGGCAAAAAGTTTCCCTTTGAAGGCTTTTTTTTCATGCGGAGAAACAAAAACAGAAAGTCACTCGTGACAAGATCGGGTGAATAGGGAGGGTGGGGTATGGGAGCCATGCTGGTTTTTATCAAAAACTGCTGAACACTCAGTGCAGTTATGGGCAGGTGGCACTCGTAAACCCCCATCATGAAACGGGCAAACACAGTGAAAGAATCTTCAAAAAAACCCACTGAAGCAGCCTCTCACAACAATGGTAGCTGATACACTGATGCCAGTGGGTTCCTAGAACACTTACTTCGCGAGGAAAACCTGTTCTACAAGGGGCCTGCCCCCCAAAAGATAATTCCGGGGTTTTTTTTGGGTCCCCCTCATATGTTCCTATCTGTGTTCAAATAAACATACAACAACATAACTGTACATGTATATGCACATGGTTACCTGTGGAGAATAAGAGAGAAGCAAGAAAAATCTCATTTTTTACAATAACACTTATTAAATTTTTCATGTAGTAATTAAATAAATAACTACAAAGAAAAAATAAGAGAATAAGAGATATAAGAGTTTCTAGCAGTACTATTCACAACAGCCAAAAGGTGGGAACAACCCAAGTGTCCCTCAACAGATGAATGGAAAATCAAAATGTGGTGTATCTACACAATAAAATATGATCTGGTATTAAAAAGAAAACATCTTGTTACATCATGGATGAACCTTGAAAACATGCCAAGTGGAGGAAGCATCCACAAAGGAACACGGAGCAGCAGATTCATTCATACAAAACATCCAGAAGAGGCAAATCCATAGACAGCACATGGACTGGTAGCAGCCAGGGCCTGGGGAGGGAGGCTTGTTTAGGGACCACTCAAGGTACAGGGTTTTGTTTTTTTTTTGAGTTGGAGTTTCACTCCATCGCCCAGACTGGAGTGCAGTGGCCGCTCCCGGCCACCGCAGCCTCAACCCGCTGGGCTCCGGTGATCCTTCCGCCTCAGCCTTCCAAGTAGGCGGAATTACAGGCGCGTGCTACCACACCCGGCTAATTTTTTGATTTATTGTAGAGATGAGGTCTCGCCAAGTTGCCCAGGCGGGTCTCGAACCCGCGGGCTCAGGCATTTCACTCACCTCAGCCTCCCAAAGGCGCGGGATTACAGGCTGAGCCACCGAGCCCAGCTGGTACAGGGTTTTTTAGGAGGGATGATGAAAATGTTCTGGAATTAGTGCACATGATTGCACAACCTTGTGAATATACCAAAAACCACTGGCTTGTACACTTCAGATGGCGTTGTTCAGGTATGTGGATTATATGTCAATAAAGCTATCAGGAAGAGAAAGAGGGAAGTTGGGCACACAACCTGCCCCATGGTGAGGCCGGCCCATCCTCAGATGTGGCTGTGGCTCCCCACTGAGGAACCTGGAACACATATTGCTAAGTGAGAGAAGTCACCTGAGAAAGCTGGATTCACGAGACTGAGTTCAAGTCTCAGCTGTGCCACTCCACGTACCGGCTGTGTGCCCCTGGGAAGCCACATTCCCTCTCTCAGCCCGTTTCTCCATTCTTGAGGCCGACCCTGTCTTATTCACAGCGTGGCTGTGAAGTAGAAATTAATCCTGGGAAACATTTTGTAAATTGCACGTATATAACAAAACCAAATCATATACAGCTTGTATCATTCCACTATATGACATCCTGAAAAAGGCAAAGCTGTAGAGACAATGAAAAGACCAGTGGCAGCCAGGGCTCAAGGGAGAAAGGGAGAGACGGACAGAGGGAGGACAGGGGGTGTTAGGGCAGAGATTCTATTCTATGCCATACCAGAATGGTTGGTACATAGCACTATACATTTGTCAAGGCCCACAGAATGTACAGCACGAAGTGGCCCCTGATGCAGACCATGGGCTTTAGCTAATAATAACACATCAATACTGGCTCATCGATGCTAACAAATGGACCCACTAATGCCAGATGGTCATCACAGGGAAAGTAGGAGGGAAGTTCCGGGAACTACCTGGGCTCTCCTGTACCCTCAACTCAGTTTTCCTCTAAACCTAAAACTGCTCAGAAATCAAGTCTATTAATTTAAAAGGTAGGGGGTTACCCCTGGCCAGCCCTGGAGTCTGGGGCGTGCACACCAGCAGCACCGTGCAACACACCCTCAGGAGGAAGGAGCCTGCCGAGAGGCTCTTGTGAGCCCCAGAGGCGGACTCAGGGCTGCCTGGGCACAGTTCTGCGAGCAGGGCCGGGGCAGGAAGAGCCCCGCCCTGTGACTCCTTGCCCCTTGGGAAGGTGTGGCTGGAGGGGCTGCACAGACCCTGGAAGGAGTGAGCCCAGGACAGATTGGGTCTAAGGCCCGTGCTGGAACAGATCAGAGTATGTATGAACACGTGCTCACGTTAAGAAAAAAATAACTGGCCGGGCTCGGTGGCTCAGCCTATATAATCCCAGCACTTTGGGAGGCCGAGGCGAGTGAATTGCCTGAGCCTGTGGGTTCAAGACCCACCTGGGCAACTTGGCGAGATCTCATCTCTACAATAAATCAAAAAATTAGCCAGGCGTTGTAGCACGCGCTTGTAGTTCCGGCTACTTGGAAGGTTGAGGCGGAATGATTGCTGGAGCCCAGCAGGTCAAGACTGCAGTGACCAGGAGCATGCCACTGCACTCCAGTCTGGGCAACAGAATGAGACTCCAACTCAAAAAAAAAAAAGAAAGAAGAAATAATCAAACAGCTCAGAAGACCATAAAGTGAAATAAAGTCCTTATTCTTCCCATACCATGACCCTCAGCTCACTCCCCATAGACAAGCATGGCTCACGGGTCTGTGTATCCTTCTGGCAGATGCATTTTTACAGATGGCCAAGGTCCAGGAAACATACATTCTCTTGCAGACACTCCTGACATTTGTTATCCATATGCAATTTACAAAGTGCTTCCCAGGATTAATTTCTACTTCACAGCCACCATGAGAACGCGGCAGGGCCAGCCTCAGGGATGAGGAATGGAGGCTAAGAGGGAATGTGGCTTCTCAGGGGCCCACAACCAGTTCAGGGCCAGAGCTGAGACCTGAACCCAGTCCCACCTATCTCCAAACCCGAGGCCTTCTCTGCTTCTCATGCTGGCTGCAGGCACCCAGACCACCCTGCACTGCCTGGCTCACCTGTGGCCCCTGCTCCGTCTTGCCGTCAAAGGGGTTCCCGACCACTCGAGACTTGGCCCGGGCGACGCTCCGCTCCACAAACTCATCGTAGACATCCTCCTGCACGAAGGTCCGGGAGCCGGCACAACAGCACTGGCCCTGGTTGAAGAACAGCGCAAAGTGGGCCTGCTCCACAGCCCAGTCCACTGCGGGGAGGGAGGGACAGCAAGGCCACAGTGAGGAGGCAAGGAGGACCCCGGCGCCCGCAGCTGCCTGTCCCCATAGCCCTTTCCCACCACCATCGGAGTTGGTGCCTGCCGGGTGGCAGGCCTAGAGAATGGGTTGGGAGACAGACACAGAGAGAGGGGGCCAATGTGGGAGCCCCCAGCAGACCAGAACGAAGGAGTGATGGCAGTAAGAGTGGTCCAGTCAGGTGGCAAGGGCGCAGTATGGCCAGATGAGAGAGGCTCAGCCTGGCTGGGCAGCAGGGAGCCCTGAGGGAGAGGCCGAGGGACAAGCCAAGGCAAGACCTTGTGGGCCCAATGCCTGACTTTGGCTGTAACCCTAAGTCCGAGGGTCAGAGACCCAAAGCCCCTGGACACTGGGAATGACAGAAGTGAGCTGAGCCACAGCACAGGCCGCTGGCAGCCGCTGTCAACACTGGGCCTTCTTCAGCTGGAAACTTACTATCTGCATCTGACATGATGATGTTGGGGCTCTTCCCCCCCAGCTCCAGGGTCACCCTCTTGAGGTTGCTGCTTCCGGCAGCAACCTGGACTACGCGGCCGATCTGTGTGGATGCAGAAACAGAGGCAAGCTCTCAGTGGGGGAGACATCGCTGAAGGCAGGGCAGACTCGGGACAGAAGACCTCCCACTTGAGCAAGCCACTGGGCTGCAAGAGACCTGGAGACCTTCACCAACTGACTGTCCACTTACCTGAGCTTCTAAGACAACAATGGCGATGATAATATGAACAGAGCTGCTGTGTGATTTCTACATACTGAGAGCCACCTATACACCGGGCACTGTGCTAAATGTTTTGCTAAATGCTGAAGTTCACCCTCACAATGACCTTGGAGGCACGGGTGACTCTTCTCCCTGATTTAGAAACGTGGGAGCCCAGGCTCAGTGTCAAGTCGTTTACCCAAAGTCACACAACTAGTAAATGGGGGATCAGAACTCACACTGGGGCTGCCAGTTCCCACAGCAGTTCTGACCCGCCGCCTGGCCTCCTGCATCTGGAGTGTTGTTCCTCAGTACACTGGACGCTCCATGAGGACAAGGACAGGATGAGCCTGGCACAAAGCCGCCCTGAGCTTATTTGCTGAGTGGACACAGGCGTCTCCGCTAGGAAACCATCCCCTGGGAGTGACTCTGAACATGGCTCCTTGGCAGTGACTGAGGTGGTGACTAACCAGAGGAAGAGCCTGACCACAGTGCCGTGGCTCCGCCCTGCCTTCCCCAGAACTGCCGTCACTGTGAGGGCTGAATGTCTGGAGGTGTCGCCACGGGAGGCAGAACTGTCTGAAGTTCACAGGCACTACTCAGCTTTCCTCCTCCAGGTCATGCGATGACGCCTGACATGATTTCAAGAAGAGGAAAGAGTTTACCTCTCTGGAGGGCTCTGTCCTGTTTCCAAGGAGACTGTGTTTAAGGAATCGCCAGAGCGCTTCGTCTGCCTGGGACTCTCTGGTGTTTGGTCACAGCACCCTGCATGCACCCACTTACACTGTCACTCATTGGTTCTGACTCTAGGCTAGCACATCAGAAGCCTCCTCTCACTCACCCTCACTTCACCTCACCTTGCTATTATGACCCGCATTGATTCACTGATTGCTCATTTCCTGTAAAATGATGGCAGCACCTGTGCAGTCGAGACAGTGTGTGTGGCCAGTGTCCTGGGGAGGATAACAGGCTCTGGAGTCCAATGAACCATTTGAGGTATACCAGTTATCTGGCAAGTTGTTCAGCCTCCCAAAGCCCCCATTTCCCCATCTGTTAAATCGGGACGATAACCATACCCACCTCACAGGGTACATACAGGGCCCTTGCTTGAAGTAGTCAGAGGTGAGTTCTGGGGGCAGAGACCCTCCCCTCCATACTCAGGAGTGCATCTTGAATGCATCATCCTTTGAAGACAGTGGGAACTTGACCTGCTGCAGGCATGAGGTCAGGGACACCTTACCTCTGTGGAGCCTGTGAATGCCACTTTGTCCACATCCTCGTGGGAGGCGATGGCGGCCCCAGCTGTGGGGCCAAATCCAGGAACAACATTGACCACTCCAGGGGGAAAGCCGGCCTGTGAGTGACAGCCAAGGGACTGGGGTCACCCTCCCGTTCCGAGAACCTGAACAGAGGCTCAAACCTGGGCTGGCTTCATCAGAGACCATCTTATCCCACACTCCTTCCCAGAGAGGCTAGGACAGTCTTCCAAGGGCAGAAGACAGCCTGTGGGTCACTGCACAGGAACTCTAGGTGGGATGGATAAGGAGCTGGTTTATGGGGGTTTCCTGTGGCTTTTGCCCCCTCCCCCTGCAGCATTCGCTTAGAATGGTCCCTTTCATTTTCCTTTTCTTCTTTTTTTTTTTTTTTGAGT